CGTTGATGTTGGTGAAACGTCCCTTGTGATCCACCAGAGCTTGCAGCACTATCGAAAAGTACCCCTTGCGGTTTATGTACTCGGCGGCTTGGTGCTCCGGTGCCAAGATAGGGATATGGGTTCCATCTATAGCCCCACCACAGTTAGGGAATCCCATTGCAGCAAAGCCATCCACTATGACCTGCACATTTCCCAGGGTCACTACCCTTGATATCAGCAGATCTTTGATTGCGTGGGCTACTTGCATCACAGCAGCCCCCACAGTAGATTTGCCCACTCCAAATTGATTCCCAACTGACCGGTAGCTGTCTGGCGTTGCAAGCTTCCACAGGGCTATCGCCACTCGCTTCTCAACTGTGAGGGCTGCTCTCATCTTGGTATTCATGCGCTTCAGGACAGGGGAAAGCAAGTCACAAAGTTCCATGAAAGTGCCCTTACGCATGCGAAAGTTTCGTAGCCACTGGGAATCGTCCCAGACCTGCAACACTATGCGGTCCCACCAGTCTGTGCTTGTTTCCCGAGCCCAGAATCGGCGTTCCACAGCATGAACCTGCCCCATTAGCACCATGATGTATGCATTGTCAGGGCCCATGCTTTCAGAGAAATCTGTGTCCATGTCCTGATCACTCACGGGACCGCGCTGACGTCGCCTCCTCGCCCGGTATCGCGTTGCCATGTTCTGGTGCTGCATATACTGCTGAATAATGCGTGTGGTGGTTAATGTGCTCCTAATTGCCAAAGTGAGCTGAGCGGGCTCCATGCTTGCCGTGGTATGGCGTCCGCACAGAAAAAAGGCGCGGAACGATTGTCTGCCGTTGCTCTGACGGAGGGAGGGGCGACTGACGACACGGCTTACAGGGTTGGCTTCAGGAAGCTAAAATCAACAAAGGGGGTGCCTGTACATCAAGGAGTATTTCAGGCAGGACTGCACGGAGGGTTCCAATAAGAAATGGTGCACCTAAGTTATCGTTGTTATTGGAACAAGGAGGTTAGCCTGGCCTCTGATTGATACATGGCTAGATTTACCTCGCTGCACCTTCTCTGTGAGTGACTGCAGTGTGACCTAGAGGAATGAGTCCCCTAGACAGGGGAGGAGGCAAATGAGTACAAAACAAATCTGGTCTATTTCTTGTTTTGACCCACTCCATCTATCTTTTACATCTTTGGCTGGCAGCAGACGGTGCAGAAGGACTGCATGCCATCCACATCTCATGACTGCTCGGCAGAAGATGGTACAGTACGACTGCTAGCAGTCCGTATCGCCTGCCCGCTCACCATAAGACGGTTCAATAGGACTGACTGCAGGACTAAAGAGAATGACCTGGTCAAGTCACTCCAAATTTAGTCCCTGTGCCCATGTCTGCCCAGGCGCTCCTGATCGACCTCACAGAGGCGACCAGGAGCACCTCAGACATGACGATGACGGCTACCAGTCGTACTGTACCGTCTGCTGCCACAAGGCAAGGGGTTGCTGCTACTGTGTAGCAATGCCGTACCACGTCTGCCAGCACCCAGGAGACATAGGGTGACGGTTACCTGAGCGGGCTCCATGCTTGCCATGGTATGGCGTCTGCACAGGTAACTCAGGAAAAAAAGGCGCGAAATGATTGTCTGCCCTTGCTTTCACGGGGGGAGGGAGGGAACGGGAGGCTGACGATATGTACCCAGAACCACCCGCGACAATGTTTTAGCCCCATCAGGCATTGGGATCTCAACCCAGAATTCCAATGGGCAGCGGAGACTGCGGGAACTGTGGGATAGCTACCCACAGTGCAACGCTCCGGAAGTCGACGCTTGCCTCGGTACTGTGGAAGCGCTCCACCGAGTTAATGCACTTAATGCACTTAGAGCATTTTCTGTGGGGACACACACTCGAATTTATAAAACCGATTTCTAAAAAACCGACTTCTATAAATTCGACCTTATTCCGTAGTGTAGACATACCCTAAGGTGCCACTAGTACCCCTTTTCTTTTTGCGAACACAGACTAACAAAACTGCTACTCTGAAACCTGTCATAGAAAAGAGTTATTAGACACACAGATGAACACAATATGTTGGGGAACACTTAACACTGCTTTTGTAAAGGGAGATTGGTGAGGCATAATCTATTGGAATTCTTTAAGGGAGTCAATAAGCATGTGAACAAGGATGATCCAATAGAAATAGAGTGTTTGGACTTTCAGAAAGCCTTTGTCAAGGTCCTTCACCAAAGCTCTTAAGTAAAGTTGGCAGTCATGGAATATAAGTGGGAAGGTCCTCATGGATCAGTAACTGGTTAAAAGATAGGAAACAAAGGGTAGGAATAAATGGTCAGTTTTCACAGCAGAGAGAAGTAAACAGCAGGGCCCCCAAAGGACCTGTTCAAGGGCCAGTGCTGTTCAACATATTCATAAATGATGTGGAAAAAAAGATAAACAGTGAGGTGGCAAAGATTGCAGACAATACAAAATTACTCAAAGCTAAGTCCAAAACTGATTGTGAAGAGTAACAAAGGGATCTCACAAAATCGGGTTACTGGGCAACAAAATGGCAGATGAAATTCAGTGATGATAAAGGCTTATTGAAAAACAATCCCAACCCCATATACAAAGTGATGGGGTCTAAATTAGCTCTTATGGCTCAAGAAGGTGATCTTGGAGTTATTGTGGATAGCTCTCTGAAAACATCCACTCAACATGCAGTGGTGGTCAAAAAAAACTAACAATGTTAGGAACCATTATGAAAGGGATAGATAAGACGACAGAAATTTCATAATGCCACTATATAAATCCATGGTTCACCCACATCTTGAATATTGCATGCAGTTCTGGTCACCCCATCTCAAAAAAACAAAACAAAAACAAAAAAAAACCTGGAAAAAGTACAGAGAAGGATAACAAAAATGATTAGGAGTATGGAACAGCTTCAGTAGGAGAAGAGATTAAATGACTGGGATTATTTCAGCTTGGACAATAGACAACTAAGTGGGGATATGATAGAGGTCTATAAAATCATGAACGGCGCAGAAAAAGTGAATATGGAAGGGTTATTTACTCCTTCATGTAACACAAGAACCAGGGGTCACCCAATCACATTAACAGGCAGCAGGTTTAAAACAAACAAAAGGAAGTACTTCTTCATACAATGCACAGTCAATCTGTGAAACTCATTGCCAGGGAATTTTGTTAAGGCCAAAAGTATAACAAGGCTCAAAAAATAATTAGACAAGTTCACAGAGGGTAGGTCCATCAATGGCTGTTCACGAAGATGATCAGGGATACAACCCCATTCTCTGGGTGTCCCTCAGCCTCCGACTGCCAGTAGGTGGATGAAAGGGGATGATCCTTCGATAAATTTCCCTGTTCTGTTCATTCCCTCTGAAACATCAGCACCAACCACTGTCGGAAGACAGCATACTGTGCTAGATGGACTATCGGTCTGATCCAATATGGCTATTCTCATGTTCTTATTCTTTCTGAAGAAATAAGAGAAATTTAATTTTTTTGTTCCAAGATGATGCCTTTAAGATGCATATTAATAACTGTAGCGGATATTCCAATACGGATACTATTGCCTATTTCCATAAGGAGTGCTGGTGGTGGAGTTAAGTCATAGGTGTTGAACACTTGGTCTGCATATTGGATCTAGTGCTCCTGAAGGATCTATGTGGCCTGCATGATCTATTTAGAGTCTCCTGAAACATAATTAAAAAAAAAAAATTCTAGACATCATAGTTATAAAGTTAACCCTCTAACTGCAAAGAGAGAGTCTGTGGACAGCCTGAAACAATAGACTTCATGTATGAATTCCTTCACCCCAATTAATCTAATTGGAATATTAATTCCAGAGACCGATGTGACACTTAAATATAAATATTTAACAATTTTATTGATGATCACTTAATCAGATGAGCTGGTGAGGATGAATACTCGAATGGAAATTGGGAGCTACTGCACAGGAAGGAAAATAGAAGGTAGGAAGAGGGATATAAATAGAGAAAAGAGGATGGGGAAAGAAGAAAAAAATATAGAAATTGACCTTATAAAGGGTAGAAATAATGGTGGTCCTAAATGTGAACATTTACCTACTGTGAGATGTGAGTTAATAACTAAAAGTTTAATTTACTACAATCAGGCCATTTTCCCTGCACAAACAGTGCACCTCAACCTTTGTGCAAGTTTACCACTGATATAAAGGGCAGAAGTGGATGGAAAGAGCAATAGGATGGCGATTGCTACGGATTGAAGGGAATGTACAGTCCTAAATTTTTTAACCCTAGACTATAAATTTAAAACAGAATTCAGCTGACTCCAAAAATAAGTTTAACACTAGCAGGTTAAGGGATACCCAATGAATATGGTTTTAACACTCATACCCTACTCAACTGGTCATCAAGAGCCCAAGTGCTGTCTCAAGCATCAAGTGAAACCAGAAGGCAGCCATCCTCAGCAGAGAACAGCCCCAAAGTGTAAGGAGCATAGCAAAGACTACAACCCCAGCATGTAACAACACCCCACCTTAATCCTAAAGGCCTAGTGGTCAAAGACTACAGGACCTGGCTTGCAGGGTTCCCAGAGCTGCCACTTTGGACATGGCACATTCCTGGCTGGGCCCTGTAGTATCTCCATAGGCCTCCATCAAAGAGCAGTGGGCAGGAGACCAAAGGCTGCAGGGAAGAGCTAGACTAAGCTCTCCTGTCACCACTAGATTGTGACCTTTGCTGCCAGCCAGTCCCCAACTGGCATAGTGGGAAGCCTATAAAAACTGATGCCAGGCCCAAGTCTTTGACTAGGCCAGGGGCAGTTCTGGGGCCATTGGGGTGAACTTTTAGGGAAGTGGGGTTTCCTTCCTAGGTCTGAGAAAGAGAAACTTAAAATTCACTAATCAGCCCCCCCGCAAGACACTCCCGCTCCGGTCGCCCCTTGTCCCGCCACAGCTTCCCCTCCCCCACTGCCCCGCCGCGTCCTCCGTCTCCCCCGAACTCCTCAAACGGCTGCCCCCGCTGTGCCCCAGACTGACCTCCGCTGCCGTCCTGCCGGCTGCTGCCTGGCGCTGGGGAGAGGAGAACCTGAGCGTCCCTCTCGCCGCCTGCTGCTCCCACTCACCCGGCCGTGAGGTGCCAGGGCTGGGGCACGGGGGCCCGCCTCGCGACCAGGCCAGGCGCAGCTATTAACAGCAAGTTGCGACCCGGATCATGGAGCCCGCGCCCACTGCCTAGAACGGCCGTCACACAACGCAACAGGTACCATAGATGTAGCGTCAGCCGCCTAGAGTGCCGCCCACTAAACGGGAAATGCCGTCGAGTTAGAGCAAAGCTTCTCCTCGCCTAACTTAAGGGACCCGGGATAGAAGCCGGGCTCGCGCTTCCGGGGTTGACAACGCTCGCGGCTATATAACTGACAAGCCATTCAACCAATCAGAGGAAGGGGAGCGACTGGCCAATGGGGGTGAGTCTGATAGTCAGTGACTCGAGGAGTGTGTGTGTGTGTGTGTGTGTGTGTGTTGCTTTAACGTGGGGTCTGTGTTACGTTCCTTCTCCTGCCGTCTTTTTAAAACTTTGTGTTTTGTAGCAACGGCCCGCCGCCCCCCATCACCCCCAACCCGCCCCCGCCAAATCTCCCCCGGCATCAACCCCCCCTTCCACCCCCTCGCCCCATCCCAACTCTGTCTCCGCCCCGGCAAAGTCCCCCTCTGGCCTGGCCCGGCCCCTTCCAACCCAAACCACCATCCTCCCATTTGGGGTCTCTTACCCCTCGCTCCCCCGGTCCATCCCACATCCTGTTACTGGCAGGATAAGCAAACACGTGCGTTTCGTTGCAGAAACTCTCTGTGAAGCCTAATCTGCCCCCGCCCTACCTGAGGTTAACCTGCAGCAAGAGCTGCTCTCCCACCATAAAACTCACCCCTGTCTCTGGATTGTATAGGTGGAAAAACCTTGGTGCGTGTGTGTGAAATGGCTAATCAAGGTGATGAGAATCTGTGTGGACTAAATGATCTGGGAGGGGATGGAGATAAAGTAACTTGGGGAAGATATAGCACAGCAGGGGATGCAGCAGCAGATTCTTGTCCAGGACTCATCACGTGAGCCGTTTACTGAAAAAGTGCATGCAGACTAGAAGCTGAGCAGACTAGAGAGGAGACGTGGCAACAACCACTAAAGAGGTGCTGAAGGCAAGTATTTCAACACCAGCACCACCCCACCTACCTAAACTGTTGATAGGTTTGTTAATGGTATTACTTTACTGTACCATTCCATGACGCAAGGCACTTGATGTGCCACTGGAATGCAGCCATTATTGGGGTGAATTTTTAGTTATGGCATACAATGAATCTTATTATTATTTATATATGGTAGCACCTTTGAATTGCACTAGAATTTTGCTAGGCACTGTACAGACATGTTGCAAAGAAGGCAGTTGCCATATAAGATACTTACAAAGAGCCCACTTCTTCCTCATCAACAAACAAAACCCAAACCAGCTGTTGTGTGACAAATCAGATTTAGAATCATAGAACTGGAAGGGACCTCAAGAGGTCAACTAGTCCAGTCCCCTGCATTCATGGCAGAACTAAGTATTATCTAGACCATTCCTGACAGGTGTTTGTCTAAACTGCTCTTAAAAATTTCCAGTGATGGAGATTCTACAACCTCCCTAGTGCTTAACCACCCTAACAGTTACTAAATTTTTCCTAATCTCCAACCTAAACCTCCCTTGCTGCAATTTAAGCCCATTGCTTCTTGTTCTATCCTCAGAGGTTAAGAAAAACAATTTTTCTTCCTCCTCCTTATAACCGTCTTTTAATATTTGAAAACATGTTATCATGTCCCTTCTGTCTTCTCTTTTTTCCAGACTAAACAAACCCAATTTTTTTCAATCTTCCCTCATAGGTCATGTTTTCAAGACCTAGAATCCTCTTTGTTACTCTTCTCTGGAATCTCTACAATTTGTACACATCCTTCCTGAAATGTGGCGCCCAGAATTGGACACAATACTCCAGCTGAGGCCTAATCAGTGGAAGAATTACTTCTTGCTGACAACACTCCTGCTAATACATCCCAGAAGGATGTTTGCTTTTTTTGCAACAGTGTTACACTGTTGACTCCTATTTAGCTTGTGGGCCAGATTCCTTTCTGCAGTAATCCTTCCTAGGAAGTCATTTCCCATTTTGTATGTGTGCAACTGATTGTTCCTTCCTAAATGGAGAACTTTGCATTTGTCCTTATTGAATTTTATAGCATATTTCCGAGATCAGTAGTGCAGTAGTAACTTTGCTGTTAATACTCTACAAAGAAGCACAACTAAGGAACTGGAATTTGAGGGGGGATGGAGGAAAAAATTAAAGTAAGATGCATACCTTTCATGCATGCCTAGTATTCCTTGTCACATTTCCCCTTCCCACCCCCTAACGCTTGAAGGACATAATAGAAAAATGCCCCCACTCCCCATAAAAAACACCCTACAATTTTTCTACTGCTTTGAGTGCTTGGTGTTGGTTTAAAAAGCAAAGATTTTCTATAGATTTAATAGCCTGTAGATCTGTCCCAATGCTGAAGAGGCCTCTGTGCTTGCCTAGGAAGTACTCTTCATAAACACTTGTAGAATATTTGACCTTAAGCATGACCTGAAGATTAATAGGTATATATTGTATTACTTTAAGTGGGCCCATTTCCCCCCTCAGTGCACATGTGACTTCCATTAAGGCTAATGGGAGTAAGGTGTGCCTAGAGGTTAGCAGAAACTTCAAAAGGTGCTGTTAGGCTCTGTTTTATTAATGATCTCATAATTGCTGAGGTGCTGCTTCTTCATATGGAAGCAAACTAATTAAATCATCCTTTTGTATTTTGGGATAGCAACATACCTGGAATATATTATGTGTCTGTTTTTTTTGAGTTCTTTAATACTTAGATGCAGTGGGCCAAATTAAAGGTGGAGTTTGAGCCCTCACTCTGAACTTCCTTGCTTTTAAGTGTCTTTTGCAACTTTAAAGTTATGTTAAGTTTTACTTTTTCAGTGTTTATCAATTGCCTCTAGTCAAGGGGTTAGAGTTTGTTCTTTTAAAATATAAAATATATATATTGTAAAGAACATGAGATGTAAAATAAATCAAATTCAGTTTACACAAAATCAAGAGGACTTAGTGGATTTGAGCCCCAAGGAAGAGCAGTTGTTGTTGTTTGTACATTTATACAAAACTTGAGAGAAGAAGCAGTAAATTGCATGCAGTGAACGTGATTTCTCCTTTCTTTTTAATGAGTTTATATAGAATACAAACTGAATACCGGTAGTAAACACATTTGGCCCTCTCAGTAGGACATTTGAGCCTTATGCGTGGCATATGACAAAACTCATGTACTTTGAAAAAAAGCAATGACATGACCCTTGGGGTAAATTTTTTGTTTGTAGTGTGTGTGTTTGTGTTTGTGGAGTGCTTGCTGCTTGACCGAAATATATCGTGTGGTCTGTTTGGGGGACTGTGTGCTGAGCCTAGTGGCCTGCTAGGCAAGCCTGAGAGCTTCTTAATGAGGCTTTGATCCCTAAGCCCTTTAGCACCCATCAACCCTTAACCGGGGGCAGGGCTACTGAGGAAGACCAGGGCTTTTGGAAGGGAGTTTAGTGGGAGAGTGGGGACTAGATACACTTAACATTCTTTAACTTAAGGCCAAATACACTCCCTAATAAAAACAAAACAACAACAACAATGGAAGGATCTGCAGGAGTAAAAAGAGAATGCAGGCAGAAGTCCAGCAACAGAGTGGGGGCTATCCAGTTTATTGTACTCAATGAAGCATGTATGATTACTTGTTGTATGGGCAGGTTGCGTATGTGTGCATTAGGAGCAAGAAGCTCCTGGCTCTCAGAGACCATGTACGGGCTTTGGAGATCAGAGTGTCTGAACTGGAGAAGCTAAAGGAGACAGGTACATACATGAGACTTTCTGGGACATAGTAGAATGGTCCCAGCCCCGATCTGACAGGCTAGGTGCTGTTGAGGAGGATGAAAGTCTCGGGGAAGGAGAACATCCAACTGGAGTAGAAGGAAACGATCCCATAATTGGGATCCTCCTTCTAGATGATGATGTGGTATCCTCTCACACTGGGGATACCTCTCCAGGGGAGGGAACTCCAGTTATTGGGAAGAGACAGGTAATAGTTATGAGGGATTTGATCATTAGAAACATAGATAACTGGGTTTGGGATGACCGGGAGAATTGCATGGTGAGTTGCCTGCCTGGTACGAAGGTTGCGGATCTCTCGAGATATCTAGGTAGACTTATGTGTAGTGCTGGGGAGGAGCCGGTGGTCGTGGAACACGGAGGTATCAATTGTGAGCCTACACCCCATGTTCTTCATAGAGATATGCTTCTGATATGACATAACTAAGATATGTGTTATGCAAGATGGGTCACGTAAGGTACAATTGGAAAGGTTCTGATTTACTGAATATGATTATCCTATTTGTATGCATGTATCATTTCTGTATCCAAAGTTAAGAATATCGACTATGTAACAATTACAACTGTGTTTACATTTCGGGTACACCCCCCAGACAGTATGCAATCAGCCTGGATGGGCTATTTGGGAGAACAATAGGACTCTGAAGATGCTAATCTCCCACCTTCCTGAGAAGTTTCCTGGGATGCTGTGATCATGTCACCTGGTACTAGATTACATCTTGGATTTCTGGTATTTTTCCACTGTGTGTGTGTGTGAGGGAACCACACTGAGAGACAAAAGATTCCCACCATATGTAAATTCTGTTTAAGGCGGGGAAGTGAGGTAATCCGGGTTCTTCTCCACTGCCCTCCCACCCAAGAAGGAAGACTGCTGAAAACACATGAAGAAACAAAGGAACTAAGCTTGAAGAGGAGGCAGGGGCTGAGCCCAGGTGAGAAAAATTTAGCCTGTGAAAGGAATATCTGGAGATCTAAGCTGCAACCAGTTACCTTCAAGAAACTCTACAACCTGTATGAACACTTAGGGTGAGAATTTGCTATTAACCAGTTACTTTAGTATATTACATTTAGTTTGCGTGTTTTGTTTTATTTACTCAGTAATGTGCTTTGATCTGTTTGCTGTCCCTTATAATCACTTACAATTTATCCTTTGTAGTTAATAAACTTGTTTTGTTTTCTAAAACCCAGTTTGTGCAACTTTTAACAGGGGTGTGGGGTAGGGGGAAAGCTGTGCATATCTTCCTTCACATTGAGGGAGGGAGCAAATTTCATGAGCTTACGCTATTCAGTTTTCTGTGCAGTGCAAGACAATACAACTTTGGCTTTACGCTCCAGAGCGGATGTGCACTTGAGTGCTGGTGAATTTGAGTGCTAGCAGTGGTGATTGTAGTGTCTGTATGATTATACAGCTGGGTGTGTTCCTGCCTGTGTGTGTACTGGAGGAGGCCGGAGAGCCTAGTTCAGCAAAACAGTGTAAGGGATCCCAGGCTGG